GTACTTACCCAGTGATGTTGTATTCTAAGCCAACTATTATATTTTGCGGTGCTAGGTCGCCATGGTCGAGAGCGTACGGCGCGCCTTCTAGCTTGGTAAACAGCACTTGGGGAAGGAGACTTCTCTGGTGGATACAGACTTGCTCAGTTATGTCGGGAAGGCGGCCATTGCGTACTCGATAGGTATTGTTATCGATTCTCCTCGAGAAGAAATTTGTGGCTGGTTCCCCTGTAATGCCCAGTAAGCAGTTGATTTCGAAGGGGGACAGCTAGACATACTGTTCTCTTGGGTACACTCAATGAGAGATATCTGTATCGCGGCAACTTGACCAAGTATTTTATTACGAATAGGCCTTGATGGGTAGCTAGGAGTCCAGCGAAGAGGCGAGCCTTTAATCCACGATAACACCATAAACGAAATCCAACCGAGTTCTCGAAGGTGAAATTAGAACCATGGAATATTGGAGCCCAGAGAAAGCCATTCTCGCGAATCTTTCGAAGTATATCTTGTTTCTCTTGGAGGATGCTTATGATGGCGTCTTGGGAGTTACTCTGTACGTGGATCGGAATGCGTACAGACCAGGCTTCTCCGTTCGAAAAGATCGCTTTGAAGATACGAACTGACCACCATCCAAATAGTGCTCATCCAGTACCGGAATTTCGCCGCCAGTCCGGAAAGTGGAGATAACGATAGAGATGTTTTCCGAGTGGAAATTTTGCAACAAGACAGATGGCATCTTGGCTACCCTGAGAACTTGGATCCCAAATTTGGGATTCTATTTGCCGGCTTCTAAAAATAATTAGGGGTCACTTTCCTTATTGGCTGGGCATTTAATTGGCTGCAGGTCAGCCTCTAACTTGTTTGTGAACAGCATATAACGAAGCCCGTGTATACTGTACTAATTGCGTTATGACTCTACGGATACAGTAGCTGAGCTTAAGCATCATCCCCGCATAAATGCGACAAAGTCTGTAGGGGTCACCAAGGTCGCGGTGCGCCAGTGCTATAGTGACGTGCCAGCTCTTGGCTTGTTCAATTATTTAAAAGTGGCTGGATCTGTGGCTGATGACCAGTCACTTCGCTTGGCAAATAAAATCAAGCTTGACTTTAACCGACTTCTAACTCTTCTACGATTGATATTTGCCGTATCTCCATTCTTTGCTCCAACATCGCATTTATACAAAATTATGTCTAGCCTACAGACCAAGATCACTATCTGTGAAAGTATCATCGCATATGACTTTACCGACGAAGTGCTCTGTGCAAAGGCGCTCAGTGCTTATGCAGCGTGCGTTACCATTCAAGGGCAAACTCGAAATCTTCAGCACAACAGTCACATGGCCGTGTATGGTGATGCGGTGTCGGCCAGCTACCTTTGTCGAACGTGGTTAGACAGCGGCTTGGACAAGGGAATGCCAGCTCTCACAAAACGCCTTTAAGAGCACCACGCTAATTATGTGCAGGTCAGTGGACTGCGATTCGCGAATGCGTGTTGGGAAATGCGAACCTCGCCGCTGTCGGATTCTGCCATAACCTCGATCGTTGCGTCCTTCTTAACCCCGGAACAACAGCTGTGTCAGATAAGACCATGGCTACCACTGTGGAGGCAATCCTCGGTGCCGTTCATGTCGACGGTGGCAATGCTGCCCTTGGGCTGGTGATGGTGAAACTTGGCCTTACGCATGCTCTTCTTGATGTGGTAACGTACAATTTCTATCTTATACTTGGACGATGATATTATTCAACTCACTTGGTCTTTGTCTAGGTCCCTACATAGAGGCGCCGAACGTCGGCCTCGTAAGGGAATTCAGGCCTCGCTATATCATTGCTCTCCGCTTCTCTCTGGGCTGGCATGGATTGTGATCATGCAAGAGCTCTTGCACAACCACAGGTAGCACAGAAGCGTGGAACGCAAAGATATAGCGAGGTCCAAGTTCGGTTACGAGGCTGACCTCGGCGCTTCTATGCGGTCTTGGACCTCTCTTCGCTGGAGAGTGGTTTATCTCAGAGCTTGCGCCCTTCAAGAAGAACGACAACGGATGCAGACATTTGAGAGAATGCCCCAACCGGCTTGTGATGACACTCATCGGCATTACTATATTAGCCCGCATCTGAACATATGGAGCAAGTTCTAACGAGCCCATCATGATAGGACGTCTAGAACGCCAATGGACTTTTAGGATGCCGTGTAGCAACTTGGTGGAAGGGGTAAGGATCGTAGGAAAAGAAGAACATTCATTGCATAGCTATCTAAATTGAAATTGAAAATTTTGCTTCGATTTTCCTCATAGAGCAAGTACCTCGTCGGCTGAATATATTTCGCTGGCGCTGATTGGAAGATGTACTACTTGTGATGGATCAGAGGTCCGCAGACCTGGATGCCTTGTGGCCCTGTGGCCCGTTTGCTCTGTAAACACCAGAACAGATAAACGCCTCGCACACCTTAGATAGATTCCTCCTTTATAGCAACAATTCAATATTTGCCTCACGATTGGAGATTCCCGACAGTGAGACTCTTACACTTTGTTGCTATCTTCTCTATGAGTGTTTACTCATTCGGAATACATTGATTGATTAAGAATCATTGAAATCAGTAGTTTAGTACTCTGATTAGTCACGCT